TTAAACTGGTAGCTGAATCTCTCATTATTACTCACCCAATAAAGGAAATGAGCCATTTAAAGACCATCAGAAAAAAATGCAAAAAAAATTATTTTACATGATGAAGATTGTAATCAATCCCTCTTCCAATAAGAACTGTACAATTTAAGAGACACAGATAGCAAGAGTGTCACAAACATACGTATGATTTTCAGGCAGGATGGAGGGATTTCATGGACTCTATGTCGGTAATGTGCCATTTCCATGAATCTCAAATCATATAATGTCTCAATGCTGCATATTTCACTTAGAAACCAACAATTATTTCTTATTTAATAAAATAGGAGTTTTGTCCTGTTTATTCCCCACTTATATTTACTGAATTAAATAAAATTTTTTGACAATTTCATCCACACACATACACAAACACATACTCACACACTGACAAAGAATAATTTGATTCTTTTTGCTCTCACACTTCTCACATCTCCATACCAACCTTATCACTGATTCCACAGCCTATATATCCCATTTAGGCATCCATATTTTCTTTTTAATTTTCTTTTCTCAATCTTGAAGTGTATCATCAATGTGAATACTAACAGCTTTGAAAAAACGTTGTAACTTCGTGGTTTTCAAAAGTAGGCACAATAGTGAAGGCAATGTCTCTCACTATATAAAAATATGTCAATGGCCCATAGTTCAGAACAAATTTTAAAATCACATAAATCTGCTCCTCATCCAGAACTCCCGACATATAGAAAAAGTCTAGTACAGGCTCGGTGCAGGGACACATCAAAGACATGAATTAAAATAAAACAATTTACAAGTAGCACTTCACAAAAAAGAAAATTGTATAGGTAAAAGAACAATAATCAGGTTGAAGAGTAAACCCACAGAATTAAACAGAATATTTGCCAGCTATACTTCTGACAGCCTTAACATTGAGAATACATGACACACTAAAAACCAGAATCAGAAAATAAATATTCCACACTAAATGGTCCTTTTCCATGAGAAGAGTATTATTTTAAGAGAGAAATTGCCTAAAAGCATCTCATAAAATGTCAATGTACACTAGTCTTTTGGGAAGTGTAAATCATAGCACTGTCAACTTTTCTGCCTACCCAGGCAGAAGGACAATGATCAAAATAACAAAAAAATAACAATCCTCAGAGGGGGTTCAGATAAAATGTAGCATCCAATAACTCCTGGTTGGGTTGCAAAATTTTACAACTATGAAATTTATATGGAAATTTGCCAAGAGGATGATATTAAATCTACTATGTGAAACAACTACACCAACATATGTCATATGTCCAAATGCCTTGACTTCCTATCCCATGGATACTTTCTCAGTCATATTTATAGATGTTCCATTCACAATAGCTAGGAAAT